AGGAAAAAAACGAACCGAGTTCCCATCGGAGTTTAATATTTTTACACACCCGTGAATATCTGATCAAATTCGTTTATATCGAAAGATACCGATTTTCGATACTTCATAAAACGACGCGGTAGAACGTTAAATGCCATGAAAGAAATCAATTAAATATCATTACTTCCTATTAGCAATTCGTGCGTATCGTCCTTTTCTTTTCTCTGACCGAGCTGGGCGAAGTAGGTAGCACGGCCGCTCCAAGAAATTGCAAATTACACTGGTTTATCGTTCTGGGTCACTAGACTTACTCGAGACGATGAAGCATGTCGGCTTTCGTGCAAGACAGAATCGAATTTCTCCTATGCACAAGAAGAAAGCTCGAGAGAGGTCTAATTTTTTTCGACTCGTCCCAGGAACCGCTGGGAATGCGGCCACGTTCTCTTTCGGTTCGACCAGACGAACGAACACCGTCGATTTCGTAGAATCTCCAGAAAAAAGCTAATTCGGTTTCCCCTCTCTTCGAATCACGCTCGATCCGTTTTCGCTCATGTGACCCGCAATCTGCACTGCTCCTTCCCGATCTAATCGAAAATGGTTCGCTCCTATCAACCCGTTTTTTTGATTAATCAAAAGAAGTGAACTCCACAGTATTATTTGTATCGGGAATTTCTTTGCGTCTGTTAATTGGAAACTGATAGAACCCTCTCGTCTGGTTTACAGGCTGATCAACTCAGCTGCGTGGTACCATTAATAGAGGTTCTTAATCGCGTCTTGAAACCGGAAATTCGGAGAGAGCGTGATTTAAAAAATGGCAACGAGCCGTGAAATTTATCGGCGCATCAGATTTTCCGTGATTAAAGCCGAAGCAATTTTTCCTGATCGCCTACGTAAATCCAGCTGCGCCGCCCCCTATTAGGGCTGTCTATTTACCAGTTCCCTCGAATTTATCTCTCGAAACGGGACAATTGAATCAGACCTGCAATTAGGAAACGGCCAGTGTCGCACGATCGTTCCATTTCCGATTTAATTGGTCCGACCCGAGTCACCGGCTTATCCCCAAAACAGATTTTAACGTTGATCATACTTGCCATCGTTCGTCGTCAAACAGCGTAGCTTCTTTCAATTGTAAACCTCTGTTTTAATCATTTACAGTATAAAAGTGACTGATTCGTTGTTTGATTGGAATACACGGTAGTCCAGTAGAATTACATCTGCTGTGTTTGTGCAACACATTTCATAGAGCTTAATATCACTCGTTATCGTTTTCTATTTATCGGTTAGCAAACGGCATCGAACATATCGACCTCCATGCTCTCTCTCTCATTCTCTCTCTGTCCGCGATGGTTACATAAATCCCTGGGTTTATCCGAATCCATTTTTCGAACGAACAATCAAATCTCGGATACACAATTAGCGGAACGTAGCCAGTGACCAACGAGAGGTTGTATGAACGTGTAATCGCGTGATTCAATTTCGGTTTCGGAGATTTACAAGCGTTGTAAGTTCCAATACAGATCCGTTTCATTGAAAAACAAACGAGCGAACAGAGAGAAATGAGAATTTCTTTTTTAAGTAGTACGGTCTATTTCAGGTCAGACGAATCGGAGCAGATCGTAGTTTTATTAATGTTTGAGAGGAACCATTAGAAATTGATGTAGAAATTAAAATGCGTTTACTAGTAGTATAGTATTTATTTTAGCTTTAAATAATTATTGATGATTTACAGATCATTAAGATTATTTAATCGATTAGTCCTGAATTTCAATTTTTCCGAGATTTTATCTGCCCAAGAATCAATTATCAGTACATTTTTCGACAGAGTGAACCTACTGTTCTCTCTTATACTGTGATTTCGTCTCGGTAAATCGAGGAAACCACTTCAGATCGCTCGACTAGATTCACGTTTTCCTCGTGACGGCGTCCGTCAATGGGAAAGTCGATGCCTCAGCCTCGCCTCTTTAACTCCGCACCCTCGTTTTTCCTACAATTTATTTTTCGCCGATTGAATCGCCGATGCAATTAGCAGAGTGCCGGCCCGTCTCCTCTTTTTGTACTTAGAATTACAAAAACTTGGCAATTTCTAACAAACAGTTGGTAGAAATTCGGCGTTCTAAATAGCGTTTTAAGTCGTGAATGATCGATGTCATAGTTTATCGTTGGTACGTGCACAGAGGCCAAAAGGAAGGCACAGTTGGTACTGATAGATTCTGACAGTAGTCAAAGGCAGATATGGTCAGACAGTAGTTACTGATAGACGGCAGCGGTCAGACAGCGCGCAGATTCACGAGCGACTCCTCAAAGCAAATGGGAATTTCTCGATCACGTTAGAATCGATGAAATCTGAAAATATTAATTAATCAAATTAATTGCAAAATGTATTTTGCGTGATCGTCAAACTGATAGGAAAAATTTAATTTCCTGTTTAATTTGAATCGACGTTCCCAGTATGTTAATCGATTTGTCATCGGTTCTCTAAGCTCGTAGGAAACCGTTGAGTGGTCGGGCACGTCCATTATCGCGACTTGATGAATATTAGACGTGTTAGCCCGTGGAAATAAGTTTGAACGTGAAACGACGGTATAGAGTAACACTCGAAGGCACTTGCCCCGAGAAACTTTCACGTTACTTATTCGTTCGCATTAGTTTAACTAATTGTAATTCCTTTCACACGTCATAAATTGATCCCTCTAATTTATTCAAATCGTGTGGGCAGACAAACGAGTTCATCTGTTTTAAAGAGCGGACGAATATCTCGTAAACCGTACGCATCAGCTCATCGTTTAAAGTCTCTTCCGTTTTAAACACCGGAACCGGCGAAGTTCTCAAACATCCATAAAAAATTATGACTCTCGTAAAGTGAAGAAAAACAAAAATAATAAGCGTGCAGCCCAGAACGAAATGCACGTCGCAAAGGAACGTTCTATCTTCGTCTCGAGATTAAAGCAATTTCTGCAACAAGGTGTACGTGCTTTTTCTGCCAAACCGACACCCGACACCGGCGCGCATTTAATGCGCGCCTTTAGTCTGGCTGCTCTCCCTTCGGTTAAACCAGTGTCAAGTTATTTAATTACCCAGACGCAGGGCGGTTCAGAGGTGTCGTACGAAATTTTGAATCGCAGTCTAAGTAGGAGTTTCTGTCTGACGCGTGGGCAAGTATTCGCACAGGGAGTCTTATCTACGTATATTCGCCTCGTCTCTCTATCGTCTCGATTATAAGAAGTCCAAAATATTCCGAACGTCGTTTACTGTCCATCGAATGCGATATTGAACGTGGAACGTGATCAGGTGAAAACGTGCAAGAGCGCATGTTATTTGCAGAAATTGTTGAAGTTTGCTGGTACAATATTTACGCTACCGTTTGATGAATACATACCGTGTACGGCGCCGCGGCGCGCGGTAGCTCTCTTTATCGTCGAGTTACACTTTAGAAACGCCGTTTGGTCTGTCAACGAACGATCGGGACGCATTTCTATCCGAACCGACGCGATGATGTTACACATCAAATATTCGACGCGGAATCATCATCGGTTCAATCGTTCCTCCGATCTCATTTCGAGTACAAACTCGGATGGCAAACTCTTCTGATCGAATTAGAAACTAGAAACGCTCTGAAAAAACTGTTTACGATTCCGCTTCCCTGCTACTCGTTTAAAAATACATTATAAATTGATTAAAACGTTATCCAGTCCGCGTGGATTTTAATAGAATTTTTTGAATTCCTGATACCGCGACTGGCGTTCGCTGTTACGTTCGTCGAAATAGTGGCTCGGCTTTAGCAGCCGTCCGGACGGACGGTAGCTGACACAATATTTAAAAAGCGATGAGCTGTCGAACTCGCTGTCTCGGATAATCTCGCAACGAATCAATGTAGCTCTTCCTTCTTTTTGGCGCGATTCCCAGTGGTCGTTAAAGTTCGACGAAGTTCCCGGGGAATCGACGCCTCGAACTTCGTCGACGATTCTACGGGCAGCAGTTAGATAATGGAACAACAGCGGCCGGGAACTGAAACTTCTCAAAATATTGCTCGGGAACGCGTTTTGCTTCGCGATGCCCGGGCGGCGACGGCGAAAGTCAATTTCAAGTTTGAAGACACGAAACGTGTGACGGAAAATAAGAGTCGACGCGTCCGCAGAACTTGTTCTGCACCCACGAAACGGAAGTTGTAACGTTAAAAAAGAATCGTCTCCCTTAGCACCGCGGAATCGAATGAAGTATTAATAGGAACGAAAGGAAGCAGTCCTTTTCTCGATAGGTTCAACTTTTAGAGGTACTTTAAGGGATTAGACTACGAAGTTATTTTTTCATGCGATTATGTTGGCTTTAAAAATTCCACTGAAACCGATTCAACGTCCCAAGACTCATGAATCGCAGTGCATACATTGGGAATAACCGAGGGGGGCGTGAAACGAAAACGGATTACCAAGTAGCTTCCGAACTGAAAACGAACGGACGGCGACCCGTGTTCGGGAACAATACGGTCGAGGGAAGACGGTCGGTTGTGGGCAAGCAACGTCCGTCCGGGCGCGATACGAAATTTCGATTCCGCGTCGGTGAACAATGCATGCAAATTCGCCGAGTAATCTGACAGTGAATGGTGGCTCGCGGTTTTCCATGCCCGCGTTTGCGGCGTACCCGTATCATCGACACCCTCCCTTCTGTTCGCGTCTCGCGATGCAAAAGCGAGAGCTTTGGAAAGGATACTTCCGCAACAAACGAATAGAATACATTATTAATTTTCAATGTGTTCGTTGTCAATTCCGATTAACAAATAGAACATTCGTCAAATTATATTTCGACGTCAGCACAATTCCATTCATACTCCGGTACGATTCGATGCAATTTACATACGATGTGCAGTGAAAATCGAGAGCGGCGTAATTTAAAATTCCCACTCGGTAGTCGTCTGCGCAGTCCTTTTCGCGTCGCTCGCGTGATCCCTCTCCCACAGCCGCGATCACGTGACCCCCTCTCCTCCGGCTCGAGCGTCGGCCATTTGCTTTTTTCTCGTGTAAAGTGCTTCTACGCATCTCGGCGTACCGGCATTCGACTTTGATCTATAAATTTTGTACGCACGTAATTGTTACCGGTTCAGACGACTAATTACGACGCATTCATTGCTTTACGTAAGTGTAACTACTGTTCGTACACTATTATCTCTCGACTTTCGCTATTAACATCAATTAACAACGACGCGTTCGTGTAGCTACTTGTTGGGCATTCCGGGAATACATTGCTCGTACTTTTGCAAGCTAGCTCTGCATTCTTTCGAAATTCTGTGTTGTATTCTTGCTTTGTACTAACGTTCCTTTATTCTTGTCTATTACAGTCTTTAACATCATTCTTCTTCTTCAACGATTGACCGGTAGCTGGTTCCCGGCATCTTTCAACTTTTGGTAGCTGTTTCCCGGCATTCCTCGACTCCTGGTGGCTGCTTCCTGGCATCTTTCGACTTTCGGTAGCTGTTTCCCGGCATCCCACGACTCTTGGTGGCTGGTTCCTGGCATTCCTCAACTTTTCGCTGGTGGAAGGAACGTTAATGAAGGTTTTTACCAGTGAGTCGTATGCTTTTATGTTCCTCCAGTCATTCCATCATGCCGGGACGAAAGGTCCGAAACGGCACGGGTGACTGGTTGTAATTTTTATACTTGTTTGACGAGCATGGTGACCCTTAGCATTTATAATATTATTACAAATGCTCGGGAGTAGTAACATTTCTATGTTGTATTGTGTGATATTTCATTCATATATCAGCTCAGGTAGGAGCTTCTTGTACTCGCGATTTATTTCACATTAATGAGAACGACATTGAGAACGAACGTCCTATTAAATAATACAAATATTTTTCAATGAATAACTTATTAATTGCATGGCCAGCATGATTTCATTTGACCATGTAGTGGTTTAGTGGTGAAGTTGGATATCCTCTGACTTCGTGTGAAGTGTAATTAAAAATTCTCAGATTTGATTTGGGAGTACTAAATGGTAAGACACGTTCTCAACTTTTAATGCATGGTGCATGATGTGTTATTAACTAGATTCTATTTCTCTAATTTCGTGATATTTTATACGAAATGATGTATTCATCGTAACCCTTTGTTAATTAAAGATGCAATATTCTTATGATATATCGCAGAGTTCGCGTTAGTAATGCTTCAATATCTAATTATCCGCATAATGAAATGTATTACATTTCACGTACAAGAAGATGATAGGGGGTAGATTTCGAAGTCAAAGCTTCCAGTATGAAAACTATTTTCAAGTTTCACATAGATCATTCGCTTTGACGAAGGGATCTCCCATAGAACATTTCAATTGCTATTTATTCTTCAATATATGTTTCATCTTGTGAGTGAATAAATAAATATATATATAAATGAAGAAGATCATTTTGATGCAATATCATAATCATGCATTTTTTAGATCAGGATTTTCAGGTACATATTCCGTGTTCATTCGCCAGGATCCCACTCACGTGCCCAGGTGCTACTTGAGTGGGTGATAGGTGATGAGCGCGATGAATCCTTTGTAGTTTTTAAGTATTTAGTAGTTTATAAGCGCACCGGCTGGCTAGTTCGTCCATCGTACACGACGTAATTGAATGCTTGACGTCTCTTTTCATTATTATTTCTCAATACTCGAAGACATGTTTTATTTGATTTTTAAATACTTGAGTTCTGAATAGATTCCATATGTAGAAATCTATAATTTACAATTACAATTATCTTCATTAAAATAGAGATGAAAAATCCAATATATTTTTTATAGTTCATTTCATGTAGTGTACGTATTTTCTTCTAATACGTATAAGTGACAGATGATCACACGTAAGAAATGTATCTAATAGATGAATATTTAATTCAGAAAGTGAATATAATAATTCACTGGAGTAGCTAGTTTCGCCAGCCGATAACAGGGAACGGTACGTACATACTTATACAAATTGCACGTGCATACAATCATACATATACATACATACAACATAATATAATTGTATATACATCCTTATGCATATTATTATACAGCAATAAGAATCTGTCTGTATGTTAAACTCGGATGTGGAGTCGTCCCGGGACGGCTCCTGCAGGGTTCTGCATCCGAGCATCTGAGAGCCCGTACGTACCGTCGTACCGCGTGAGTCTGTTGGTTTGTCTGTTTTGCCTTTCTTAAATATGTACAGGAGGGTCAGGCAGGCAGGTAATTGACTTCTGGTACGCCTGTTAGCATGTAAGCAGGTAGGGCCGGGACAGGTTGACACGTTCTCAATCGCGTCTTTTTCTTCTCGCCGTGTTCAACCTGTTTCTGGAAATTTGCGTTCGACCGATCGACGGTGAAACGATTGTTTTCACGTAGTCGATTGTTCGAATGCCACTCTTGCAGGACGTTCTTCGTCACTCGTCGGGGCAGAAGAGCCCGAAGAAAGAAGAGGCTTCGGCCGAAGAGGCTACGGCTGAAGAGGCCCGGTGCTATATGCGCCTTCGGAAGAGGGCAACTATCAATGATTGTGCATTCAGAAATTATGTTCATATAATTTCCCAAATGCGGAATCATCCAATTACTACTTTGTCACTATGCTCGTTTTGTTTATGTGTAATGTCGTGGGCAATCGCGGTTCTATTTAGCGTTGCAAATTATTCAGTCGAGTTGCATTAGAGTCGCGAATCAAAATCACTGTTTGTATTAGAATTAGAGTCGCGTTTTAATTGTAGCGTTGCGTACCGTGATCACGCGTTTCTTCTTTGCATTTTTTTAATATTTCAATTAAATTAGAGCTTATCTTTTTTCATTGCTCGTTCCCTTTTATAGTTTGCTTCACATGAAATTAGTTTTATTCATCGGTTTTATAGCGAGTAGTTGCAAGTTCTTGTATGTCTATTTTTTATCCAAGTAGCTTCCTTGATTGATTTTCAATTAGTGTTGCGAAAATGGTGATCGCGTTAGAGTTGTGCGCAAAACCAAAAGCCCAAGTATTTCAGTGAGTTCCAGCGTCATCGATGGACCATCTTCACAAGCGTTATACATCGGCTGCATATTTTTGCGCCATTAGCGTTACATTTTATAAATTGATATGATGAAAGGTGCATAGATTGCGTCGCGAAATGCTTTCGAGTAGATCCATTTTTTATGAAAGCACCCTCTCGTGCTTCTTTCTTTCTCAGTTAATATTTGCGATCACATTATTATAAAGGACCTATCGCGGAGACTCGGTGTCTTCTTTGTATATTTATAAGTTGAAATAGCAGAGATTCTAGTTGCGAAAAAGAGATTCGCAGGTTTGTATGAGTTGTAAAGAATGACCGATGCCCTTTCATCATATTGTCCATTCATCTGTCTGTTATTTGTTCGCCAAATAAGACAATAAGCTATTTCGAATTTCATATGAAAATTGCTGTCGCAGCATTTAACATTACACGAGACTTTCACCGCGTAATTCCGGTCGTCAAAAGGTTAATAAGGATTTATTGCGCGCGGGGATTTGTACTATAATACATCAAGCTGATACAAATGAACAGGAAATACGGCCTATAAATAGTTATTCCCTTCCATTTGAAGTGAATTAATTACTTAAAGCGCAATTTACGCTATCATTACGGGTAGAATATTACAAGTGAGCCTGGAGGTATTACTCCGTCGGCGATACGCTCCCACCGTGCCGTTAATTATTATCCGGTCAAAGCGAAATAATAAATTCCTATTATCTCTCTCAAGATAATTATCTTACCTGGTCTTCCGTGTAACGGTATCCGAGAATTACCCGCGATTCGTTCTACAGTCTCGGGCCCAAATTAATTACGCGTAGTACGTCTGGCAATAATTAGCGTTTGTCCTTCGATCGAGAAATCGACCGCGTCGAATGTCTCGTCGTTAAGATTTTAACGAGCAAAACGAGTCTTTGTTTGATGACGGTCTGATTCGATCTCTCAAAGTTTAACGCAGATTTCGGGTTATCACTCAACGATCTTGCCTTCCTTGTCTCGCTTCCGAGCCTCGCGTTGACGAATCGTATCTCTAGATAACTTCTTTCGCTCGTCGGGGTAAAGAAAAGGTTGCGAAAAGTCGTTTTAAATAATCGCGCAGAGAATTGGCCGCGGCGGTTGAGGGAAATGAAACGCGGGTCAAACAAAAAGGGTGGAATACGCCGTTTCCTGGGTAGGGCAAAAAAACGTGGAAGGGAGCGGGCAAGAAGCTGGTACGTTTCTCTATTAAAAGAGGAGACCAGCCACAAAAGCCGTGGCAGAGGGTAACGGGGTCGACACCGCGATGCCCAACGGGACAAAGGATAATTTATAAGAGTTACCCCGTGGAAGACGCAAAAAAATCCTATAGCCGAATGACAAAGCTTTTTTTTTCCAACCGCGTAGCGTCACTTTGAAACTCGTATGCGGTCTTCTGTAACCGCGTGGACGTCGGCCGCGGAAATTAGAAAGGAATCGCGTCGTTTATTCGATCAATTTTCCGTGGCGATTCGACGGCTGGGAAATTAGATAAAATTGTTGACATATGAGAATTGTCGATTTCCTCGAGATGATCGTAGAAACGTATCAATTGAACGCGGCGAGCGGTTCATAGAATGATTTAAGCAAAGGAAGATGCGCGAACAGAGTAGTAATTGGGAATGAGTGGTTGTAATAAACGGTCAGCGACACAATTCCGGCAGAGCAGTTAAAAGCTCGGTCGAGTCGATAATTACTGTCGGCCCAAAGTCGTTGAATTAATGCGAATTGCATGGGTGATGCATTACAAAGCTCGGTACCTCTTTCTGTGCACGTTTAATGATCTTGAACAGATTTCGTTTACACGATTGTCAGTGAAATTCTTTGGCTTCGATCTGTCGGCGACAGACTTTGAAAATTTGAGGTAGGCAACCGATGAGCAGGTTGTAATTACCGGTTTCAACCGTTGATCATTACTCATTGGGTAGACGCGTAAGCCTGTTGCGGTGGCCATGGCACGAGAAGCGAATTAGAAATCGCGCGCGTTCATATCTATAAACTCTAAACCAATTAACCGGTGCGCGGGCGTGATGACAGGGCTCATAATTCTGACAATTGTTCCGGTTTCGTTGCCTGAGCTCCCGCGGATTACACGACTCCCACCTCGCCACGCGGTGTTAATGGAAAGCTGAGTTATGTAAACAAGCCGTGATCGTGCATCAATCGAGCATTCATGATACGCGAGCCGGATCAACGCGCGGGAAATGTTTCTAATATATTGTTACGAGTTACGTAATTAGAATGTTGTGGCACGTCTGTTCGCATCATCGTCCACGTGGGTAATCCTCGCTGATCGATTAACGATCCGACTGTCGTGTTACGCGAGCTGTTTTTTATTCGTTCTTTGAACGATCCGTCGCGGTAACGATGCAAAAAGATTTAATGCAAATTGACGGAAGAGATTTGCAAATATAATATTGAACGTAAATGCATACACACGTGTATCGCTGGATCAACGTGCCTTTTATTGTTTTTAGTCAGCGATTTATCGTGGGAGATATGAACATTGTTGAAACGTCGGTTAATAGAAACGGGTAGCAGTGGATAAACAGGGTTTCGAATTTGGTAATTCGTGCAGTAAGTTACGGCGGTCGCAGTTTCGCTAAATGTTTTGAACTCCCTTTATTCGACATGTTAATTGCGAACGATTAAACTTTCCAATTAACGTGTGTCCCCATTGAATTTCACGAATATTGTTACATTCTCTTGTCCCATTGTAGAGAATTTTAATGAAAGAATTATGGGCGTACGAGATTTAAAGCAATATGAGCATTCAATCATTCCTTCGAATAGAGACGTTCCGATCTGATTACGATGATATTGTTATACTATCGTTGTACTCGGTTTACAATAATTACGATCGCAATATCCGCTCGTATCAGGTTCAACTAAATTTATCTCCGTACGGGAATCATTATAGTTCATTGGAACAACGATCGTTAGCTACGAAACGCGTAGGATGTTCGTAATTATTCAGACGATCAGGAATTGTGTCGATTACTTTTTTCCAATTAATTCGTTTCGTTAAGCGATCCCACGTTACCGTTTATTATTACGTGCACGTTTACGTTTTCGGTAGAATTACAGAATTTCTCAATATCTGAGCACGAACCATTCTTTTAAATAACGCCATTTCGAACGGACCGTATAAACCTCGAGGTAGCAGGTTCACTGAAATTTTATCTCACCGTTCCGGGTCTCTTCTCCAATGTCCGTAAGAATTATTTCGCGGTCGCACGACCGCGTATAAATTTCGATTTCGCGATAAAAAAAGAGGTAGAAAATCGGAAAGGGACGAAAGGGTGAGAGTCGTAAAACAACTATTTTGACTCGGGATAAATTACGGTTCGACCACGGCTTGGCTAGTAACGGGACGTCTCTCGTGGCAGGATATTACCGTTCGCATGAATCTTCGGTATCCGCTCGATCCCCCTGAGTGCCCTTAAGAACGTCCGCGCCGAACTTATCGACGAATCAGCCCGCAACTTCCGGAATAATATCTCGCCTCGTCGCGTTCCCGTGTTTAATCGAAGAGTTGATTCGTTCTAACGTGAATACGTTTCGACCCTTCAACTCATTTTGCGACTCAGAAGTTTTGCGATTGTTCATGGAATATATTTATGCTCATCGTACATCGGGTTTTAGATATAAATTAGTAGGGCAATCGTCTTCTGACAAACGAGATTCAATCGCGACGTAATAAAATGACGAATGAAAGATCGAGGGCATTGTTATACATTGGAGGAGCTGACATAAATGCAGCCGTTTGCCATTCTTGGTAAGAGGCATACCTCGTTATCGATTACCGGTGGCTGTAATTAATTTGGCGTCCGTTCGAATGCAATCGATTTACGCGTCAATGAACGCTGCCGTGGCGTTCATCTGCGGTCATGCAATTGCTTTAGCCATTACTTCTCTGGAACCACAAATTGGACCGGAAAAGCGGGAGAAGCGTTTGGAATCCGTCGTAAAAGTACGGAAGATTCCGGGGAACGTAATTAGAATCACGCGAGGCAATCTGATACAAAAATCAGAGACGAACGAATCCCGTCCGATGAACTCGAACACTCGGTGCTATTATTCGACGAGGAATCGTTCGAAGAACGCGAATTAATCCGTAAACGTTTAATTGAACGGCGACGTCCGGATGAGAGAAAACGTGAAGTCGTTTATGCTGGTTTTTTTATAAAAAGCTTCGAAACGGAAAGGGTGTGTATAAATATTGATTGAAACGACTATTGCGTGGGAAGGGGAATGAAAACATCGGGAGAGATTAATTTTGAATCCGTACGAATCCAAACAAAGCCAAAACGAATTACGGGAGAATAACGTGGAACGAGCAAGGGGCGATGGGTCTGGAGAAAAATCTATAAAATCCATTAACAAACTGTCCCTGGTCTAACTCACTTAAAAACGAGCATCGCTCTACCAAAGGCAAACATTCCGCCGTCCCTGTGTACTTACTTATTTTTCCGACTCTCTCGGTTCCATCAGAATAATGAACTTCATCTTGGAATATCAAACAGCAGACGACGGCGAAAAGCCGTAGGAGCGTCTTCCCTGTTCGTCTTCGCTCTTACGCGATCTCGTGTCATTACAAAAACGCATCGCGGAAGGCAAAGAAACAAACGAGTTACTCGCTTTCTGCGTGCCCTCCTGACGATCGTCCGTGCGCGTGTTTGCCTCGTCTAGCCCGTGATGCGCAAATATTGACGTTCCAAACGGGGCAAAGGTTCGCGGGTTTAAAGGCACGTACGTACAGAGGGAAGAAAGAGAAAGAGAAATTCTCCAAAGTATACGTTGTTATATTTTCATTACACCGTTGTGTCGTCGTCTCGGTAAACGAGTCTCCATCCACTCCTCGTTAACTGTTTGTACGCTGGAGTAAGCTCGCGAGAGTATAGAGTCGGATTCAAATAATTTGGAACTCTCTTCAAGAAAGAATTTCACTCGACAGAAGGGTACTCGTTTTATAATTTCTCAGTTGTTTTTTTTATAAGAATAAATTTGTAAGAATTTTTTCTACTCGTTAACTGACTCATCCGCACGTGGAACCCACGGTGAAAGCGTTCCTAGGCGTAGGGGTAACCTTGTTAAATCCACCCCCGCAAAATCGTCTTTGATTTCTGTTTTCCACCGCGGGCAGAATAGGTTCGCATATTGGTTTAGGTTTCCCCTCTTTCAATTTGTCGAGCTTCTTCTTTTGCGTGAAGTATCTCTTTTTTAAATGAGTCATCTCGATGGTCATGCTGTCCATACCGAGCCGGCACTCGCCCACCTGGACCTGATACATCCTCAGCTCCGCTAGCAGACACTAATGGCATAATTTAAATGATTGTACGCGTGCATTACACGATACTACGCGTACCACAGTTATAATTAATACCTTCATTTTTTGTCCCCTCTCGCGCAAAGCTTTTTGCGTTTTGTTCAGAGCTACTACCACGTGAGGCCCGGGCTGCTGTGACAAAATGTCACGTATATTCATGTACAATTTCTCGGTATCCTTAATCTTTTTCTCCTTCTCGATCAGTTTCGCTGCCATCGTTATCACGCGCTTCTGAAGAATCTGAATCTTCTTCAATAACTCGTATGTATTCGGATCAGAACCCTGTAGCATTAATGAACATTTAGAACCTGATTTCTAAATAAAACAGATTAGTCGATTAAAAAACTCGTGGAAGAAGGAACGGTACCTCCAATTTCCTCCACCTATGAATGTTCAAGGGTGCTTGCACTTCCTCTTCCAACGCCATCACCTTCATCCTCTCCCGCGTCAGGTCACGGTTCAAGTGGAACACCTCCTGACGGAGATCGCTCATGTTCGCAATGTTCTTTGATAGCAGGGCCTTCTCGGTCCTCAATTTCTTCACCTCGAGCTTGAGCAATCTGATATCCTCCAGTCTCTGATTGTACTGAATCTCCCCGCGTTGGAGCGTCCCGTGTAAAACCTTGATCCTGCTGTACTGAAGGCTGAGCTCGTCGTTTCTGCGTACCAATTGCGTCCCGAGAATGTCCCTCTCGTTCATCACGTTGTCAATGTCCTTTTTGTGCCGGCCGATGTCCGCCTCGGCTCGGTGGATCACTTGCCTCAAGCTCTTCTCCTCTTGTTTCATCGACTCTATGTCGCGTTTCAAATCGGAGACCTCCTTTCGACTCGATTGCAACTCCACTTTCACACCTTCCCTCTCTTTCTCTACTTTGCTGCGGACTGAACGAATAAATGACGATCCCTTAGAGAAAGATTCTACTTAATTAGAGTGAGCGGTACGGAATTCCTTGGACCGTGGAAAAAGTGGTACGGACGTAATAGCTGCAGTTGCCCTCAAGAAGGAATACCGTATCTGCGTCGTATACTTTTTGCGAGGTTTTAAGAGAAGAAGAACCGCGTTTTTTAGACTCGTAAAACGAAGCAATTTACATTGTACCGTTAAGAGCAATCTAGAATGAAAAGAGCAGGGAATTGCTCGGCGTAACGTAAAGCCACAACAGAAGACTCGATTAAGAAATGATCACGGTCGAAATGTCCGTGGAAAGGTAGTAGTTATCAAGGGAGAAACTGAGTGAAAGATCGCTCACGGAACTCCTCTTTGATCAGCTGGCCCTCCTTCGTCACGATATCCTCTTTCAGCTGTTCTATCTGATGAGTGAGCACCTTCAGCTTGTTTTTCAGCTCCTGTATCTCGTCCTGCGCCTCGGTCAGGCTCTTGCTGCACGTGTTCCTCTCGGTTCGTAATGCCTCGAACAGATTATGCTGCTGACGGTACTTGGCCTCGGTTTCCGCCAAACGTTTCTTGTAATTCGAGATCTCGATCTGCCTCAGCTTCGACTCGTTTATGTAGTCCTCCACCTATTAACACGGTACGGCGGCGCCAAGTTATGCCTGATACACGGCACCGTCCGCGAACCATGCAAATCGTCGACACGGTTCATTTCCATACGACCCGATGGAAATTAGGTATCTGCGTCGCGCGTTTCGGGCTCGAATAATTAACGCTTCTATACGCGAACGTCTTCCAGAGTCGACTCAGCGGTCTCCGTCGTACGCACAATTTCCGAATTAGAACAGTTTGCCAGGATGAATCGAAATTATTCTTAAAGGGTAAAAGTCGCGCAAATCCTACGGGAGTTCGGGGGTGGGCCTTCGCTCAGATTTACATTTATCATTTAGAAATTCGCTATCCAATTAAACTTGTACAAAGAATCTGATTGGTGACCGTGATAATTGAACGTTAAGGAAATTGGGAATTCGCGAAAACTAGTCGGTCGTTCGGGGAATCGTTCTATCAATTTCATGGGCCCGAGAGAGTAACGGAGACCCATATGCGTCCAGTCGGAACGTAATAGTTGGTTAGTTTGGTAATTTGCGCGCCTGCACCCGTGAAACATTGTCCGTGAATAATGGCCACTTTCAAGGAAGCGGCGGCGAAAGTTTAGCTTGACAAGCGTTTCGGTAACGGCCAGCCTTTATCGCGTACGCGTTCGTCGGAAAGTTGGGATATTTTCCAAATTATACCGGCTATCGTAAAAGTGGCCGATGAACACGTCCAAGCGTTCGTGTGACATATGAGAAAAATTATCAGAGTTCGCAACGACGAGACACACGGAACATGTTTATGTCGGGCAAACATTTTCGCAGAGGCGTGCCGTTGAATTTATTATGGACATATTTCATTTGAAAATGGTGTAATCTCGTAGAAAAATGCACGCGTCGAACAACGTAGGGGTGTTTAAAACTCCTTGAGGAATTTCTAGACGAGATTCTGTACTCTCGTGGATAATTGATCGTATGTGTGCCAGCGTGTAGTTCCTCCTGCTAATCTAGTATTAATTACAATTTCATGTACAATCGCGAAATGAGCCGGTTACATACATCGGATAATTTCCGACCATGTGTACATGCACGGTGTGGTTACACACGATATATCCGCTTGAACCACTGTTAAGACGATGTCTACTTCGTACGAACGAAATCCAGTCCATCAAATTCCGTACGTTTAATAGAAAAAGTACGACGATATAAATTTTGTGCGAATTCATTATTAGTACACGTTTTAAAAAGAGCGTCTAGCTCGGGAGAGCTGGAAAATCTTGAGAAGTGAAACACCAGGGGGGTAGAAAAATTGAAATTCAATCGTTGTCGTTAGAATGAAATGAAAACGAAATCGTACGCATCTGATCGCGAAACGCCTATTCGTTTTCTACCCTCGCACTCGTACCTTTACCACCTGCCGGCTGATACACGTATAGACCGTATATCCGTCGGAGCAATTCGGCCGACGGGTGTGCACATAGCAACTATACGGGCTCGCCGATCCTTCAGCTACACGTCTACCGTGCTACCCGACTGACAGCTCACGCTATATCAACACCTATTATTAGATAGATGTTTAACAGCGGCTCGGCGGCGTCTACCCGCGTTCCTACTCGCTAGATGCCCGATTACGCAACGCGCCCGACCAATTCCACTTATCCTATCGTAACCCGCACGCTGCCACGCCGCTTTCGATTTCCACCCCGGCAACGCGCTTTCGATCACGAGAAATTCAGGGGCTACGGTCGTAGCAGCTTTCACAGTTCATTAGTTAGTCCCTGATTTAAGAGCTGATGAAATAATAGGTTCTGATTAAGAATCGTTGATACGAATTTTGATTAGATTTCCTAATGATCGATATGATTTGGAAATTATTAATGCGGCAGAGTACGATTTCATTTGCATAATTGTCGACGAAATGCATTTTGCTTTATGCGCCCGGACTCGTCTGACCAAGCGTCGACTCGTACTACTCGACCGTCTTCTGTTACTTTCAATACGTTTTAATTCCACCAAACAATTGCCATTAGGCACAATTAGGTGGAATGAGATTGTGATTGATAACACTTTCATTATATTGAAAATGAAAAACAAATAGTTCTCATTTCTGTTGTTTTACACAAATCAATGATTTAAACTGACCTCTTGGGCTAAATGCTGTGCGGTCGAGCTGTGCTTGTCTCTCTCCTTTTCCACCGCTTCCAGCTGCTTCTCTATCTCCATGACGTCCTGCATGGAACTGTCCAATTCGTGCTCGATCTTTCTACGGCTGTACTCGCACACGACCATCTCGTGTTGCATCCTTTTCAACTGGTCGTTGAGCGTCTCTTTGGTACGTGCCAAGATAGTCTTCTCGCGCAAGATGATCTCCATTTCTTGTTGCTTATCAACCAGCTGCTTTCGCCCTATGGCTTGTTGGTGCTCGGCATTTTTCTTATCCACTAACGCTTGCGTCAGCTGCTGGTCCAACGAGGATCGTTCCTGAGTTAGCTTCTGCAGTCGCTTCGCCATCGATTCCTTCTCGTTTCTGCATTTCGTTACCGTGTCTTTTAATCTGAAACACCAAACCCGACGTGCAAGTGAAATCAACGAATCACGTTCGCAGTCAATGTGTTTGTCATTGTAAATGATCGTCGGATTAAACACTTCCGTTGTACGAGTTAGAAATTTGTCGCGGAGTGACTGGAGAAGTGAAACGGTCGTGAACGAGAAACGTTGGGATAAGTATTTTATCAGCGAGCAAATTTTCGATACGAATATTTTTATTAACACGTTTTATTCGAACTCGTTGGAACGGAATTCGTTTTTATCGATGAAACGAGAACAGCCGGAATTCTTGTCGCCGGCGACGAACCACATTTCCCATCGTTCGTTCGCCCGCCCGTGCGTCCGTCTCTCCGGAGAAATATGTGATAATTTGCATAGCAATTATACCCGGAGTACCGTTACGTATCGACCACGCATTGTAATGCAAAATTTAATGGAAAATAAATTTGCGCCCCGCTTTCCGTGGCTGGATCGCGTCGGCCCGCAAATATAATTTCGCGAATAGCCCGGCGAATAATGTTTCTCGCGTTAAGCTCGCGGGACGCAATCAATTATGTCCCGAACCACGCCGATATTTTATTAGCGGAGATGAAATAATGCGAATCGGGAGACAAAAGGGGCGAAGGGTTGTCGTTTTGTTTCGATCACGCTCCAGATTCGAGCTTAATTAGTTTCCCGATTCGAAAACGATTCGAGGGTTTGCTATAAAATCATGTGTCGTCGGTTTAATCGCTCGACCATGTCACGGAGCCAAAAGTGGCGGAGGAAATTTGATTTAGGTGTCTTGTAATTACGAAACGTTCATAGGAGTCAATCATTGGCAGTTTGGTCGCGACGGTAGTACGAAGTAATTAGTATCGGAACCTGTGTACGGTTTGCCTGGCCTCTTTCAGTTGCTTATCCTTTTCCGCGACCTCCTTGTCCAAACCTTCGATCTGATTGTTCGCGTTTTCGAGGTCCCCTTCGAGATTTATTTTTTTTACCGACAACTTGTTGATCTCCTTTTGCATCTTCTCGGACGAAATCCTCTGCTCTTTCACCAAGCTCTCGAGCTTCATCACGTTCGCAGTCGCCGCTTGTATAGCTGCGTTTGCCGTCTAAATAAACAGATTTAACATTCTCAACCGATGTATATATTGACGACGGAGAAAAAGATTTTTATACATTCTCTGCATTCATTTTATGTCCTGCAGATTCAATCTCTTAGTTTAAATTATTTTATTTCATATATTCGTGTCTCTTTAAATAGCAGAAATGTGTCCATGGATCGTTCGAAACGTGAATTCAAAATTGATTCTGTCTCGGAATGAGAATAAGCGAAATTATATGTATGAATTATTGTGAACGCTCTCGGGAGTGCTATCGCGAATCTCGACAGAGCTGTCCGACGAGTTTCACGAACTTTTCGCTCTACGAAAATCGAAGTCGTATTCTGCGAACAGTACGATCATCTTGCGAAGATAAGCTTTGTTCAACAAACTTGCTATCGCGACTGCTATATAGGCTCTCTGTTATCTTATTACCGTTTCTGCAAACTTGTTGAAGTAAAACGAAAAATGAAGAAGTGTAGACAGACGGAAAACTAATAGGCGTTTGAATTGAATCAAGAACGTTAATTACACATTGAAATTATTACATGACATTTCCTCATGCAATAAATCGCTCATATTTTAAATTTTATAAACTGAGGTGCATACAGAAATTGTATGCGATTTCATCTAGTCTCCTATGTCTTATTAATGAATTCGAGCGATATTTGATACACGATTCACCTCGAGATCGGTCATTTTTGCCGTTAGCTCCTCTTGCAGTTGATGAACGTCATCCTCGGCCCTCTGCCTACCCCGTCGTTCCCTCGAAATCTCGCTCAATTGCATATCCATGCTCTCTTTCATCTCGTCGATCTGATGACCAGCCACGCTGGTCCTCTTCTCGAGCTCTTCCGTGTACAAAGACATGTTCTTAAGTCGTTGTTTCAAAGTGTCCACCTCGCTCGTCAGCTTCTCCTTCTCTTGTATCAGGCTCTCCTTCTGCTTGGTCACACTGGCGCTGTAAATATTCGATTCTTTATCCAATAAGACATTATCTCTTCGATTGGGAAAAGAATTATAATTATTCGAGCCTATTGATCGATCTGGAAATTCCTAATTTCTCAAGTAATTAAGATATAGTTATTAGATCACAGAATTTCGCATCGTCGAGAGAATTAACCAACGGTAAATCCGGGAGTAGACCAGCGGCACTCGGAGGCCAATCGAGCGCTTTGGTCCTTTGCGAGACGGTTGGTCGGAAGTTAAAGACAGCTTCCGACCCTTTGTCCCGGCAGGAGCGAAAGGAAACGAAGCGCAACATCTTTATGAGCCAATATATGCCACGAGCTACGGTCCCGTTGCGCTTTGGACCGGCTTTGCACTCTGGACCATGTTCTCTGAACGGAGATACAGTTTTCCCGTTCCCTCGGGATCGCATGCCCAGTCGTTGGGTCGCGGAGACAAAGCGTGATCGCGTGCAGATGAGAGTAGTTGCTGAAATTATGCCACTTAGGACACTTTCTGCCACACCGATAAAAGGATAACCATTTTCAGAGAACTTGTTCCCAGTAATTCGATGGCACAGTTTATTCAGAATTTTCCCTCCGGCATCGTTGATCTAGCCGTCTCGCGTTAATATTCTCATTCCCACTTGGTTAAAATATTCGCGGACAGTACATAGACCCGGCGAAACGACTTACTCCTCGCCGGCGGCTAATTGCCTGTTCTTCTGGGCGATCTCCTGGCTCAATTGCTGCACGTTCAATCGCAGATTCTCGATCGTATCTTGGGCGTTCTGCTCCCTCGTATGAGCAGCGTCCGCACGTTTCATCGCGTCCATCACCTCGTGTTTCAACTTCTCGATCTCCTCGTTATTGTCGGAGATCCTCTGCTTCATCTCGTATATCTCTTGCCTGTTCTCGAGAACTTCGGTCTGGGACAATTGAATTTTGCATGAAGCCAAGGATTCAATTGTTCGTCTCGAGGGCTCGGAAAAGATGTATGAATAAGTACTTGAATAAAAATTAAAATATTCCTCGAGGAACGAGTCGAGCTCGAAACGAATACACAAGTTAATAATGATAATTATACGAATTTCGTTGAAAGTTAAAATATCATAATGACACGAATTAAACAAGTTGAAAAGCGCAACAGCGCGAGTGTAATTAAACTTGGTACAGTTCTAACGAACGATGAAACAGATTTATAAAAACTTGTTAAGGCAAAAGTAAAAAGGAAGTAGACAGTAAGAGAAACAACAATGGGGGAACGAAGTTCGGAGTTTCTTTTGTATTTAAAACTTCTCCGAACACGCTTTTAATTACGGGCACCGTCTTAATTATACCAGTAATGAATCACGCTTCTCCTCCAATTCTTTTTCCGTTCGGTGGGCCTCGTACAAAGCCTTGTACAGTTTCGTGTACTCGTTCATGAATGGGGCCAACTCCTCGTTGCCTTTCATTTCTTTCAATACCTGAAACACGAAATAATTGGTTCGACGTCGATGCCAATAATTAGTTGATCAAACGGCGGCATATATTTGCTATCGTCAGGAGTCGTCGTCCAGATCGATCAACAAATCGAATCATTTCATTTTTATCGGAAATAACGACGAATAAAAATCGTACAATCGTTTTAGGATAATTATATGCCATTATATAAATAGACAGCGTTTGTTCGTCTATTCCGTACATTTTTAATTTTATAACTAATTTTCATTACATACTTTTATCTAATTTCTCTGTCATTTTCTACCTGATGGAAATATCGATTCGTTGTTATGAGGCAAAACTGAATGTACGATTTTGTCTCCACCGGGGGAGGATTAGAGCTCGTTTGGAGGACGGTGGAAAAAGTGAGAAGCCGCCCCTTTGGCGGCACGTCACCCCTAATGAAATCGTCCACCTCCGAACAAAAACGGTCCTCACCTTCGAGTAATCCTTCTCGAGGTCGCAAAACGTGCTGCTCGCCGAGCTTCCCTCCGAGCTGGGCTCGCTGCTCTCGCTCCCTTCGTCCTGAAACGTGTCACCCGGCCGTGTCAGGCTTCTCCCATTTTTTTTATCCTCGTTCGTTCACGATCATCGTCACCTAGCCGCGCGATATTGATCGCGATCGGAGCCCTCGATAAAAGCATCGAGCGAGGTTTAACGCGATTTACGAGCTTTCACGAGGATTCTAATTAAACGTAACGAGCGGTATGCGCGGTGACACGAAATTAGTTGGAAAGATTCTTTTCTTCCGGGCTTGGACGTAACCGGAATCGAACAACGACCGATCGATCCGCGTGGTCTGAGACGTTGCGCTCATTGCACAGTTTCGAGGTTCATCGGATGCTACGTTATTGCATCGGGCCTCGGTTTATATTGGATTATATCCTTGACGTTTAAACTGAGCGATGGACCGAACTTTGAAAATGTAAATAGTTTTCGACTGGAACGGGTCAGAATGTTATAATAGCGAGTCGCATAATAATGCTGACGTTCGGAAGTGAATTCGAACTCCAAATTCCTGTGTAACCATGAAATTAACTGGACATGTGCACTGCAGATTAAAAATGTTATACATTTTCTGGATGTATATATGAATAAATGTGCTGGCAATTCACGCATTAGTCTCAGACGATACGAAGACGTAAGATTGAAGGAGTTAGAAAACAATTTGTAAAATATAATCGTTCGTTTGACAAATTTCTTACCGGGCATAGTCGCGCGGTTAGGTTATCGATACTTGAAACAATTCAATTTTAATAACAACGTCGGCCTGTTTATCGGGCATCGCCGTGCTTCTCTCGGTCTTATCGTCGTCCATTCTGTGGTATCATTAATTGCCCGTCGAGAAACTTGCGACGGTATAAAAGTTCCGTCGTTGAAATGGTCAAATGCAGTTTATACAAATGGCAATTGCACGTGTAAAAGTTGAAAAAATAAACGAAACGCGGTAGCTTTTCGGCGCGGACGTTCCTATTAGACTGCGTTGGAATCAAATTGGAATTAAGGATGTATTAGCTATACAGTCAATCCCAAAAGTTTATGCACTTTAGAAACGCATTTTTTAAAAAGAAATTAGACGTCGGAAGAACATTGCTAATAATAAACAACAAAAAAAAATTTTCGATTTTTCCGAGATTTTTCCAAGGGGTATCCCTTCAATTTCTTCCAAATNGTCGTTAATACATCCTTAAGATTTAGTTACAATTTGGAAGTAGCGCGAATGATACTTCAATGATGTTTCATACTTCTTTATAGAAATACTTACGTCCAGACCAGCATTCATCTCCATGTCCATCATGATGATAGCTTAAGATGATTCCTCTAATTCTTAATTAGAAGAAATCTTACGAATATTCGAATTAAATGAAAAATTGCAAGACAAAGCTTTTTTCTCGAAGCTTTTAATATACAGCAATTCTCGGTTCGATCAAATTTCTTAAATCACAAAGTAAATTGAACAGAGTTATGATCGATGCACAGTACTTAGGCAAGAGTAGATTCTACTAGCGGAATGCTACCCTTGTATCGCGATTTGCCTTGTTGACTCGTATCCATAGGAACTGTGGTGATCACCTAATTCCTTGATCAATAATTCTCTTTTCGTCTAGTTCGCCTAAACCCATCATCAATGATTTAAAACGATTATTTCCTTTGTAATATACAAATTGCCCTGACTTTAGGACAAATTTTTATGCTACAGGAATGAATTCGTACGAGAAATTAATGCATAGGATTAAAAGCATGATTATTGTAACTCGGAGATCAACGGGATTAAGGAAAAAGAACGGTTGAACGAAAATATCATTGTATTAATAAAATTGCAATCGTTCATTACAATATATTAACATTTTACATAACACTTATTCGTATGCACGTGTACGTAGATATATCATATATTGATATATTAATTCTCCCACTAAATCGTCTCAAGCTGTATCTTACAATATACAATAGTATCTGGAGAGTCACTTCTAATTAGGAGAAAGGAAAGAAAGAGGCCTACGCGATTTAATTGGCATTGAACAACATCTCTCGTTGAAACACATTTAATAAACTTTATTTACACTCTCATCGTCGCTGCACCTATTACCGTAAATTACGACGTCCAAATACGCAGCATCGTTTCGCGACGGGTCAAGTTAATTCGCTTCTCTTACTCGGCAATTCGATTACACGCTTCGGGCAATTAATAAAAAAATAATTCTCGAGATGTTCTCTCTCCTACCTCGCAGTCTCTCCTAACTATTTAATTGGCAGATCGTGTTCGTCGCGAACGCGTAACTTTTCTCGATGTCGTACCATCGTCTATTTATCTTTTGTTTCATTCCTTGTATTCTATTCCCATTTCTCTCGTCTCCTTTCTCGGTTCGCCAAGCTCGCACTCCTGTACGTGAAATCATCCTATGAGCGAGTCACAGCGTAAAATTGCATTCGTCGTTTCAACAATTCATACCAAAAACGATCCACGTTAATATTGTCATGGATTGAAAGATAGGTGTCGTGTTTTCAATTCGATCAATTTCACAGTTTTATTATTACAAAATACTCAGTATGTTATAACTGCGTTCATCAGTTATTTAACGTGGCTCTCATAATTTTCAGGGATCATTTTCGTTATGAATCGCTCAAATCAATCTGTCCAAACATTGTTCACGCCATAATTATAATTACAATTAATTTATAATGTAATTATGAAAGCTCGGTGGGAAATGGTGTTTAAACGACTGGTGCGATTAATCAGCACGAAAATTGAAACCAGTAAATATCTTGTTCTTTTTAACTAGAAACAGGGTAATCACTGAATTTCCACTCCTAGCGTAGTTCGTCGTTGTTGCAAAATCATACGGTGTCTAATTTTGTACTTGGTTCGACTTTTCTTCACTTGGATATTTTTTTATGAAAAATATCAAGTTGAATCGATGGATTGAGTAATGACAAGATTTTTAAACGTTCTAAGATTATACCGAGAATACAATTAGCATTTGTCAATTATTATAATTAGAATAGAACGATTACTTCGGACTTGAACGTTTGTTTAATTTTAAGCATCGAGTTAAAATGCGCTTCCATACTATTTTATGGAACGCTTCCTAATTCGTCTAAGATCCATAATTCGTAAAAGTAATTCTATGAACAATTTAATTAGATCGAGAAAATTTTAACGTAGTTGGTTTCGCTTTAAAGAATCGGAAACTCTTGAAACGAGCAATCTTCAGATGTATTGTACGATAATCTATGGGAGATAGTTCGAGTACGCCTGACTAACCGTTATAAAAAATTATTATACTTAACGCTACGTCTAATTAATTTGACAATAAACAATGGCAGTAGTCGTTTTACTTAATGGAAATAGTAAATCGTTCGAATTCAATGATTACCCTAGTAAATTGGTATCTTTCGTTGCATCACATTTACACACTACGCACACATAATTTTACGGAACAGCAGGTTGAGGCGTTTCGTTCTTTTCGAAAGATCCTTCGCTGGAACATCTTCGACGAAAGGAATATACAGTTCGTTAAATGAAAATACGGCTGGTTCCATAAGAAAATTTCATACAAAAAACCATAGACGATAAAACTGATATCACAAAGTATTTGCAAAAAATGTAATTGCATGTCTTTTTATAATTCGCAGTCATTTATTACTCGTATCTAACTTGCACGAATCGTTTCTCGCTCGTTATAAACTATAAACGTGTCTTGTACAAGGCACCAATCACGTCGATATCGTTACGAAGTTTTGTCGCGGTGGTAAATAAATTTCTCGCTAATAATCAAAATCAGTTTCGAGTAGGTCGGTCGCCTTCATGTTCGTTACTAAAAATCGGTAGGACAATTGACACATGGCGCGTCGTTTTAATAATTTTTAAAAATTCGCGCGAATCAGTCGTAGAACGATACAATTTTCAATGGTCACGTTATACAAAGATTTTCACATTCCATTTTAAGAGATGTTGGAATACTTTCGTGAGTCGACGTATGAGGAAGAAATCAAATGATTCGTTAAATCGAACGAACGATTTCATACACATAATCGGAATTATTATAGTAGATCGCGTGTCAACAGAGGAAACTTATTGTCACGTAGGTAAATTTGGCACAGAAGACAGCAACGTGCCGCTGCACGGTTCGACGAATCTTTAAGATCGTAAGGTTTACCTATTTACGCGATGTTACTGCTTCGCCGTAGAAATCGTATTACCGAAAACATTACAATTGGTTCTCTTAATAGAAAATTGCATCGAGTTCCAAATAAGAATTTAAATAAAACATACGCCCAGTCTCTCGTAACAAAGTTTATTTAAAAATGTTCAACAAATTCTTACACTATGAATCACTCTGTTCTCGGTCGAAGCTCGCCGCATCCAATATAATTTTCGTACAAAAGAAATCTAATCCAGTCGACGTAATTGAAGATCAGACGCGCTATAAAATGTAGACGTAACTTTAAAAATTTAAATAACAAAATCTGATCTGATCGTGAAGTTTCGTTGGCCATTTCAAGATATCGTTATTCAGTTTGTCACAGTACAATGAAGCATTGAACGAGGAAATATTTTATACGTTTTATTCCATAGAATCGACATTTCGAGTTACATCTAACATTTCACGATCTGTCTGTTAAAAAAAAAAAACGGGTTTATTCTTAACGAGAGTAAGGGTCGACGCGACGAGAGGCGAGAAACTCGATTGAATTTATACGTATATATATATATATTATCGTTATTATCGTTATTATTAAATGAACACTCCTAACGGAAGAAGATAAACGTACGAACGGAACGTGGACGAAGAGAACTGAGAAATATAAAGGAGAGACGGGTTAAATAGGAGACGTGGAATAATCTGTACATAATATCGGGTGTACCCTATGCGAAAAGCAACGATTCTTCCTTCTCGTCTTTTCTGTCTTTCGTTCGTCTCTAAACACCTTATCGTCTAAAGCGTACAGTTAGGATTAAATTATGATATAACTGCTTTTGGAAATTAGCTCGTTTAAAAACGTTCGATACTCACGACGTGTAAAAATATTAGCGATCGGCGCCGATATTTATTTATTTATATATATACTCTAACTCTTACGATTTTCATTTTAAGTGCACATAAGTATACAAACAACGGAAAAGACGATCGAGTAGCATCGGCGTGTTCGTTCCATCTTCATTTGTTCGTAAGCTGATTCATTTCGTTTCTGATTAAAAACTTTGTTCGTTACGTTTCGTAAGAATCTATCAGTAGGATTCACTGTCAGAAGAATTTCTACCGACGTACGTACAATTAGAAAATCAATGAAGATCGGAAGAACACAACGCTACTGACACATTCGTTACTCTGTGCCCTCTCGTATGTACGTGTGTATATGTATTATATATGTTCATAGATATCCATACGTACCAGAGTATCTCATGAAGTCAGAATTAACTATTCTTTTAAAACGATTATAAATCTATTACGTAAAGTATGAAACAATTTTCATCAAGTATTAGTCGAAGGTCCAAGTACCCCATAGTGCAGTTTGTCTCGTGAATCGTTTTATCACATACAGATGGGATCAGATACATCGACATACCTATAAAGTCAGTTTTTATTCAATAAAAGATTAAATCATTCGCTACGCTAGAAAGAGGCCTGCATTATACGTTTATAATCATTTTAAAGACACAGTCGCTCTCGATCGAGACACTCTGTACGCATCCGTATATTCGCGTTTACCCTAATAGAGACGAACCACGTAGGGAAAACGGCCGCTATAGCATAGAAGGGGGATGGGAGGAAAGAAACGGATCCGCGCGAACACGACATCGTCACGCGTAACGATCGCGTACGAAGCGAAACAGTTGTATATTTATCATTGTGAATCGTCACCGAACGATCTCTGGCCCGTGTCTCATCGCGGTGAGGCTCAGCTCGCCGACGCGACCTGCGACACGGTGAACGGCGTCACCTGATAGAGGAAACACCTGTTGCAGACACGTACGGGTTTCGTGTGCCCGTATCGGGGCAGAGGAACGTTGTTGCTGCTGCAACGACCGCAGAACACTTTGCCACAGTTTCGGCAATGGTGTCTGCGCCTCACCACCGTGAACCCTGCCTGGCACGCCATGCAACGAGGCGCGTCGTTGTCCGGGATCCAGGCAGGTGCCCTCTCCACGCACTCCTCCCCGCGTTCGGTCACCGGAGAACCTGTGGAACATGATTCCATTGATCTATAAATATCTCTCTGTTCCCGTTCTCTTAAGATTCTTCTGAGAAACGGAGTTCGCATTATGCACAGACTTTCTCTAATTGAAAGCGTAGTCGGATGTGTCAATGGGAAATTAAATTTCATGAATTTATATTTTGCTTAGTTGAATAGCACACGAAATTATGTCTCTTCAGAACGAATTTAATGAAATGGGGAAGGGTACGTACTTGTATTATGTTCGTTGGTCGCCGTGGTCTCCTCCAAGTCGTCCTCGTACTCTTGCAACGAATCCTGCCGGTCGTGATTAGTGATCGTGTCGGTCAAAACGTCCGCGACGGGACTCCCCGACGTTAGATTTTCGTCCTTTACCTCGGTTTCCTCCACGGTCTGGCTGCTGTTCATCAGGAACACGCATTTCAAAATATTGCGTAAATCCGACGCGAAATTCGTTTGCAATTGATCCGCGACACCTGCTATGCAGACGAATAAACGGTGGACGAGATCCTCCGACGACCTGAAGCAGAAACGATCGGTCGGTCAGTATGTCGCGAATGTAGTCTCAATTTTGTACGTATCGCAAAGACGAAGTTAAATCTAGCTTACATTATACTACTTGTGTAACAGTATTTTAATCACTGACGATTGTACATACGAGATAAGGAAGAGGTAATGAATTTTACCGAAACTTCGCACGAATCTGATTCCTGTTGGCGGCAGCCTGCATCGCGAGCGCGATCTCCTCATCGTCCTGCCAGTCGCTCTGGAACTCGCTGGTCTCCGAACTCGAGTCGCAGCAGCTCGAGCAGCTCGAGCTGGACTCGCCGTCCTGTTTCGGAACCAACGATTGTTCCGCGCTGAACGACTGCGTCCCCTGAACCGTGGCCGCTTTCACCAGTCGCGTGATCCTCTGCGAATTATTGTCTTTTTTCGCAACCGACGTCGAGACCGGCGAGGCGGGCTCGTTCGCCAGGCCGCTCTTGTCCGTTCTTGGTCCCAAACCGTCGTTCATCAGTTCGCTCGGGCTCCTGTTGCCCAGCTTCCTCTTGGTCTGCTCCGACCTCGCGTTCGCTCGTTCGTACTTCTCCCTCCACTTCATCATCCGGCTTATCTGCTCGGATCTGGACCTCCTGTGATCCAGGAGCTTCCTGTTCTGCGGCGACAAGTTCCTCTGAGCTCTGGACACGACGCTACAGGTCCTCCGAGCAGAACTCGGTGTGCTACGCGTCTCGAAGTGCTGTAGTCTAGGGCTGGCGTGCGGACTGTGGCTACCGAAGTTAGGCATTTGTCTCGTGTTCTGACTCGGGTGCAGACTGGCACCGTAATAGCTGATCAATCTAGGGTTCAGGCAACGGTCCGTGGAGTTCGACCTAGAGCTCTCGGTGCTCGCGGAGGATCGCACGAAATTCTGTACCCTGTTCTCCTGCATCGCGTAATGAAGCAACCTCTGCCCGTTCCTCTCGTGCTTACGTTGGTGTCTACGTTTCTGTTTCTCGTCTCTCACCTTTCTCGACGTTGCGATCTTCTCCTGCGCGATCTTCGTGCCGATCTTGTCTATATTGTGCGACGTGGACGGGCAGTTCTCGCACTTCAAGTCGCTCCAGAACTCCTTCCTCGACGTGGACGCGTCGATGCTCAAATTCAGATTCTCCCAGTTCTCGGAATAGTTGATTTGAAAACCGGACTGATTGGAATCGCACACGGAGATCTGCCCGTTCCCGTAAGCGACGCCTACGAACTCCTCGTTCGTCCCGTCGAAATTCGACGATATACGCGGCACGTTTTTAGCCTCGGTGCTCGCCGCGTGTAAATTGTGCACTTCGATCGATCGGTCCAACGACGCGACAGCTTTCACGTTCCTCAAACTGCAGACGCAAGAGTTGTCCGACATCGTCGAGCTCTTTCTCTTGGGCGAGTTCAAGTTCGAGCAGGAGTAACTGGTGTTCTCCTGCGTGTCTTCCTCGTCCATTCCCTGCTCGTCCTGCTGGATCTCGTTGGCGAACGTCTTTTTCTCCTCGGGGCTCTTGTCGTAGAGACTGGTGTTCTCCGACGAGATCACCGTGCAGATCCCGGAATCGGTTTGCTCGGAGATTTCGTTCTGGCACTCACCGTCTAGCAACAGATTCGACAGAGTCTTGTTCGCTTCCGAGATGAGTTTCTTCGAGTCCAAGTCGGGCAGGGAGTTCTGTATGTGCACAGCTTCCACGGTGACGTTGTTCTCGTGCGACACTTGGTTCAACAGGTACTGCGTCTGCGGGATCTCGATGTTCTCCGAGCCGTCCAATATCTCAGAGATGTCCGCCGTCATGAATTCCTCTTGCTGCTTCTGAGACAAGATCGGTTCTCCGTTCGGGACGACCTGTTCCGCCGCGGGCACGGGACTCCCGTCGCGCTCGCTCAATGCCCTCGAGCAGGGATCGCCGTTCCGCGACGACGGTCTCTCGTTGCTCGATCTTTTCACGCGACATTGCACTTGATCACTGACACTCTCCCTCCCACTGGATGTCCTCGCGGCACCGTCACGTCTCACGGAATTCTCGTACCTATTCGCGGACACGTTCGATCGATCGGGTCCGGCGTCCGCGATCTCCGTCTCGCGATCCGCGTCCTCGTGCTGGTCGCTGCCGCCGCTCTCCATCGAACGACCGTTCTCCTCGTCCAACGTTTGCACCACGTCGTTCGCTATTTCGTCCATGTTGTTCCCCGTGTTCCTAGTCACTGTGTAAAAATCTACGATGAAGTCTTTACAGTTCGGGTAGCCGGTATAAAAGTTGTGGACGAACTCCTCCAGGTCGGGAATGTCCTGACACGCGGACGACTTGGACTGCGTGACGGGACCCGACGGTTCCTCGTTCGAACACAGGAGTTTCTCCAGCATGTATAACTCCCGGTTGTTCAGGGTCCAAAGGAGCTCCCTTATTTTCAATAGTAACGTCTGCAATTGAAGTGGAATAATTAATTCCTCGTTTCTCGGCGCGTTTCTCGTATGGCACATCGATAGGGTTTCATTGAAATTAAGGATGTTCGCGTGGAGCAATAGTGTTCAATTTAACATGAATTCAAATTCAAACTACGTGCTTTAGGCGACTGTTTCTCACCGGGTTAATTGCACATTATTTCGCATTTCGGGCAAACAGCATTCAACTTTGCACGACTTGTAATACCGTAACGAGAACTCGAGTCTCCGAGCACGCATAAAAGGCACTTGGATCAACGTTTAGTATGAAAAATTAAGAAAATTAGCGAACGTCCTTAGCATCAGTTTTAGCGTGCAATTGAACGTAGAAACGTTTAATTGGAACGGCTGGGGGAGGTAGCACGATTATTTAATTGTGAAATCGTCGCACCGCGCTTACCCTAAAGGGTCTAAACATTTCGCTGATGTTGTCGGGGGAGTTGAGGCACAGCGGACCTCCGGGCGGTGCCAAGAGGCCGGAAACGATCGCCAAACGCGGGATAGTGAACATCAGCGCCGGCTCGTAATTGTCCACGTCTGCCTGGCTTAGCAATCCGCGTTCAAGCGCCCGTTGCAACGTCTCCGAAAATAAAACGCATACGAGCTCCTGCTGCTCGTACTCCTTCGTCGATTTCACCGGCACCATCACGCCCACGTAACAGAGTTCGAAATCGGCGAACACCCGGTCGAAGATCTTCAACGACTCGATCAGCTTCTCCAGCGATGGGTCCACCGGGTTTTGCGTTTGGAACAAATACTGAAAATACCAAACGTCGTTTAGCGAACAGAAAAATATGAAACGAAGATTTAAGGATGCAATCGTAAGAGTATTAAAATGCAAATGAGACAGGATTCTGAAACTGGAAACAGTCCATGTTCTAAATCGCAGCGACCTTCGTATTTCGGTCAGGAACCATATTGATCGTACAATTAATTTATTAACCCGAACGTATCGTGGATACAACGGAGAATTACTTAATTAACAGCGATAAGGATATAGAACGATGCCGTGAATTACAGCAGCGGCGTTATTAGAGACAAAAGTGACACTCGAATAATTACCGTGGCCTCGAAAGATTATCACGCGAAAGAGAAAGTCGCGCACACCGCGGCAGTGCCGAAGTACTACGCGCGTGTGCGTTGAAAAGTAAAGTGTACTTCTCGGATAACGAACTTCTACAGAAAGTGCATTTTCTCTTTAAGCATTCCGTGATGAAAAATTCTGAGAGTTCTACGCGACAGAAAATAAAAATGAAACAGTAACGCGATTCAGAATTAATAAATAGAAAATACGAAGCTTCGAGAGGAAACGGTGCATCGACGAATCTATTTGTTCGATACGTTCGCTCCATCGAAAATCTCATCTTGTGCAAATATAACATCCTGGCGAACTATTAAAAAGAGCCAGGGTCTATTATTAGACGATAAAACAAAAACGATTGGAAAGCATAGATAGATCCGGTGTTATTGGATTTTCATAAACGCCCACGCGAACAAGGGTCAGGCTGTTCGCGAACGCTTGAGCAAAGAGAGCGTGCCGTAAATACCTTGAGGTTCATGTGACCTTTCAGCGCGTGTTCCCTGAGCAGATTCCTGACGATGTCCAACGACTTGGTCAACGCCTGGGCGAGGGGCCTCAGAGCCGAACTCTCCTGTTCCCTGTTCATGATGGAGGATCCCGCGGCCAGGCACTCGGCCCCGAACCAGAGCTGCCCGGCCAAATTCTCCTGCATCACGTCGTCCGGGAATTTGACCCTGAAGTCACGATTCGCTCTGCTCTCCGGTATCAGGTCGTCCATTATCTGGCTGCATATCGTCAGCACCTTGTCCTGACAATGCCGCAGACGATTCACCAAAGTGGTGCATCGCTCGGGCTCTTGTCGACCGTCGAACGAGTCCAACTCGCACGCGACTGCGTTCAGAGACTCGTCCGCGTAGAAGAACTGTGCCAGCAGGCTCGTGTCGTCTCTCTGCAAATTAAACCAGAGTTAGCATTTTAATTAACGGCGCGCCGGTGCTCGTCACCGATCTTGGCTGCAGATCGAAAGGTACGAAACGTCTCCTCGTTCACGTTTCGAGTAATTTCCTCAAATCGTTCTGGCACACGAGTTCGCGGAAAGATTCCGCGAGATATCTTCGATTGCCAGGGCGAGGAACGAAAGATAAACGAGTACGGCGACCGGGGGATTCGTTCATAGTTCACTCGTATCGTTCGTTTTACCGCATGAGACTTTTATCTCGGTCGATTAGCCGCGACGTCGTCGTGTCTTCGCGAGGTCATCACGAGCTTCGACTGATTTTTATATCCTAATATAAATTCATCTTTACAGAGATAAACTCTTTTTACAATCGTTACGCGTAACAATGTTAATTATAAACGTTCGTGCCAATGGCGTGTCTGTTCGTTTTCCGACCGTATTGCAATTTTCTGGATATCGTCTTTGCGCAGGTTCCCTTCGTACGAACCGAAGTATATTTGCAATGGTACGATTATTAAACTTTGATTCGAGGCAGATCAAGCAGGCAATAATCGCTGATAATATTCGTTGCATATTTATAAGTTTCATTAATAATTTATAATTATTCACGTGTTACTAAAACGCGTTTCTGTCAGTCGACGTTTTACATAACGCATTAAACGCATGTTTACCACGCGGCTTAGGAATGCACAAAGTGAACAATTATTCCACTAAGTAGATATTTTTAAACAATGAACGACGGAAAGGTGAGCACTTGATCGAGCCACTTTAAAAGAATTTACGATGGTAACGAACGATTCAAATTATACAAATTTTCACTATTATATTATTTCATATAGAATTTCATATTATTCCTATTCTCGCCGTTTAATCGGAACAGCGTTTCCTCGGGAGGAGAAACAATTTGTAATTTTCCGTGCACGCCGCGAGAACGAGAAGAGAACGGGAGTCACCCAGGAGAGCGAGAGAGAGAGATATTTATAAATTGATACGAACCCGCGGTTCTCGGAACAATGACTCTAATTATACCTACGCGTCGTAATTAAAAGGGAAGAGGCACTATGTTCCCCGATGCTCCACGTACCGTAAACACCGATCCTCAATGAAAGGGTACGCCACGATTTACTAGATATTAATTGCGTTAAATGGAGCGTCGATTTACTCCGAAACTGTCTCACTTCTTTTCGTACGGTTCGAACAGAAGCGATGATACGAAACCGATCGATCCTCCTCTCTTCCTTATGCAGAGTCGATCAATTTAATTAAAACGGGAAGCGGACTTCTTTGCCGAACGCGCTACGATAGACGCTCGTCTGGTTTAGTTCGATACGAGATAACGAGACTAACTACAATTATAAATATCGAAGAAATTGCAAAACAATTGGAAACCGAACCATCTTGGTCCTAACGATCGTGGTTTACGGTCGTTAAGAAACGATATTGAAACCGATTAACTATGTACGAGTGGCTCGTTAAGTACGTGACACGCACAACGTTCGAGAGGAATCGTAAAAAACGGCATCGAAAACGGATTTAGAAAGCGTAACGTTGTTTTCTCCGGTCAGCGTCGGCGAATAACGGTAGAACGATACATAGGATTCGTTGACAGGAATTATGATATAAACGTAATCGATAAAATTATCGTTTATCATTATGTAATACAATATCTGAAGATCGCGTAAGTTCCGAATAAATGTACGTTTCGAGCGTCGATGGATTCGATTCGTTTAATTGTTACTCCACGTAAAGGTGAAGATGACACGCGTCACAGGTCTTTCCACTCTAAATACTCGGTAACCATCTTCCGTTCGCGTCGATTGATTTAACGAGCAAGCGAATTGAAACTGACCGTACAAAAGTTCACCGAGCGCCCTTTGCATAAATTGACCTCCGAAGATTTTCATAGTTACAAAAATTTCTTATACGGAGATTCTTTCTAACTACGAGTTGCTAACTTCGTTCAGAAAGTTTTCGTATATTTATAACATTGTTTCAAACAATCTCCTGCTCTTCGTTCAAACCACTGCTCAGGAGTTCTCTCCCACTTTTTAAACAAATACATATTTCCTGATCTGATAGAGATTAGAAAAGAAATCGGCGAAGGTCACGACTGATAAAACGAGCTACTAGTAACGCCGATAATTTAACGATTTTTACTTGAACATCTCGTTATCAAAATACTCGGGATACGCCAAATTGCCATAAGCGTTAGGAATAGAGTGCGCAAGTTAGAGGCTAGTAATATCGTAGATAAAGCCTCAGATAATAGGTGAAATATGTTATTGTAGTGCGTAAGAACAAGCTTTAAAGTAGACAGATATATCGGAAGTTACAATAACTTGTATAGAAAAAAAGGAAATGAAACTCGACACTTATCCTGCAGCACAGTATTTCTACTACACAATCGTCTTGCGCTCGTAAATTACATGTTTTGCCACGAATGACTCATCTAAGCTTACGGTTTGGAATTATGTTTTCTGGTTTTCTTAGCAAATTGTTTTTACGAACATCATGTCCTGCTTTCGAAGTAGTACAAGATACAGAACCGCTACCAGAGTCTCGTGATTAATAAAAGCGTAACATGAAGCACATACATGGAACGCTAATTACGAACTTGTTAATTAAGAATTTCATGTTCGATCACGTATATTCGAAATCGAGTTTCATTCCTATTTATCTCGCAGTCATCTGTGTCTACTCTCACTTGGAAGCGTTCATAAGTAATCCCCGCATGTCCAAGATGATCCGAATCGAGGTCTATACGCTAGAGATCGTGTTTATTAGGTTTCTCGGATCTGATGTCGCCTATATTTGATCTCTCGACGACGAACGACGTTCGCTCGTGAGAACGAATCTCGCGATTCTGTACGAACCGCTAATTGCGAACACCGACTCAATATTTCTCGATCGTTCAGATTCTCATTAACAGTAGATTTATCTCACGCTTATTTAGATAAAGAAATTGATGCGTGCAATATTAGAGAACTATTTTCTGTTATCGCACAATCAATTGATAGCTCGTTTTATTCAATCTCTGTGATTAAACTGCTGTTCCGATATATCATTTATTCGTCAACGTGTATTAATCGAACGTAATAGCAGTTTTTCGCGAATGTCTCAGCGACGAGTAGGAAAAGTAATTTAGTACGTCGACGCTGACAGCACACTTTCAAATGAAGATCATTGTAAAAGTCGTTTTTCTCCTTACAGACGTTTTATCGCTCCCAAATATCTTGTCCTACTCGAGTTGCCATTTTGAACAATCATTATTCCCCGATATGTACGTTAATTCGCGAAGCTAATAACTCATCGCTCACGAATGTTTTTCCGTAGCACGTGCAGCCTTTTCCCATCTGCTTATCAGTGATCGCGAGTTCAAATCGTACGTAGCTCCGACGGAAACACGTGAAATCGAAGCACACAAGCTCGTCCAATCGAATGATTCACGTTCGCGTGTACGGACGACTTCATTGCAATTTTACGAACAAATTGCTCGTACATTTTCCGGAACGTGAGTTAAGCGTTAAAAATACGAAGGTAAAAAACGTAATATGGTCAGCGATTAAGTATTCGACGTATGCACTAATTCAAGTAAGGAAATGAGATTAATAGTCGGGCGACGATCGTGCATCGTTGAGGGATCAAAGTATTTGGAAATACGTAGCGAAGTGAGTTTGGAAATTTGCGTGGCAGCAATTTGCCAAGTTAGCGATGCAAATTAGCGGGATGACGGCACTGACGTCGTTACGTTCGAGTTCCTATCGGGACACGGTTTCGAGAAACAATTCGAGATCAACTAGGATGATCTGTTACGAGAAAGATCGATCGTAACGATGTACTTAATCCGATGAACAGTAGATGCCTCCTTTCGAGGACACTTCGTCTTCCAGACGTTTGGAACGAAAGACAGTGGACATAAAAATGTGATGAAACGTATTTGGTATTCTGTTCCTGTTTTGGATTCTTTTACGTGGTGCAGAAAATATTTGATCAACTGCCGTGAATTAAGGATGTATTGGCTATATAGTCAATACCAAAAATTCATGTACCTTAGAAAACCGCATTTCCTATAATTAAAAATAGTGCACTTTTCTTCTAATTTCGATATTTAATGAGTTACATATGATTATATGGCATTTTATTGATGTTGACAAAATCCGACCATCCCAGCGTCGAAATGGCCAACTTTTGACAAAAAATTTCGTTTTTCTTCAATAANTGATTTCTTTTTAAAAAATGCGTTTCTAAAGTGCATAACCTTTTGGGATTGACTGTATAGCCAATACATCTTAAAAGTCCGCGCGAACATATTCTTATCGCAATCAGTAAACGGTAGTATGTACCTTGCTCTTATCGGTGCTAAATAGCAATTAAACCTGGCAAATGGTTCACGTAAAACTCGATACCATTTCGTTCGTCCATTAAAATTAACGCGTTCGTCGTCACCATTCAATACGAGAGTAGCAACATCCGTTTTAATATCTCTCAAGTATTATTGATGCATCGAAACGTGAGGAGAATTTAAAAAATAAGAATTGGTGAACTAATATTGACCAGCACGAATTTCTATTACGAGAACAGAATTGGAGTAGTCGATAGAATCGTATTTGTATATCCCTGACATGAGAGGCACGATATAAAATGCAGGAATAGCTAAAAGCTTCAAATTTAATACAGAAAAATCATTCATATGGACAGGATATATATTTCCCAAGCGTGGAATCTTTCTCCACCACTAAAACGAATGGGGCGATCAATTTTAAAGAAGTATACGAACGTACGTACGTATATTTTTAGTTTCAATATCCGATGGACTGATTTCTTACGAGCGACGCTTTCTTATATTGCGCCATTCATCCCACCACTCTAATCGAGTAAGTTCTATTTGATCCTCGTTAACGTGTCGGCTCCCCGGCAGAAGCACATCGCTTAAAAATACATTTGACGATATTTATAATTGCTTGGACGCATCCTATTGGAACCAGTGTACA